ACTGGCACAAAAACAGACACAAGATCAATGGAACAGAATAGAGAGCCCAGAAATAGACCCTCAACTCTATGGCCAACTAATCTTCGACAAAGCAGGAAAGAATGTCCAATGGAAAAAAGACAGCCTCTTCAATAAATGGTGTTGGGAAAATTGGACAGCCACATGCAGAAAAATGAAATTGGATCATTTCCTTACACCACACACGAAAATAGACTCAAAATGGATGAAGGACCTCAATGTGAGAAAGGAATCCATCAAAATCCTTGAGGAGAACACAGGCAGCAACCTCTTCGACCTCAGCCGCAGCAACATCTTCCTAGGAACATCGCCAAAGGCAAGGGAAGCAAGGGCAAAAATGAACTATTGGGATTTCATCAAGATCAAAAGCTTTTGCACAGCAAAGGAAACAGTTAACAAAACCAAAAGACTACTGACAGAATGGGAGAAGATATTTGCAAATGACATATCAGATAAAGGGCTAGTATCCAAAATCTATAAAGAACTTAGCAAACTCAACACCCAAAAAACAAATAATCCAATCAAGAAATGGGCAGAAGACATGAACAGACATTTCTGCAAAGAAGACATCCAGATAGCCAACAGACACATGAAAAAGTGCTCCACATCACTCGGCATCAGGGAAATACAAATCAAAACCACAGTGAGATATCACCTCACACCAGTCAGAATGGCTAAAATTAACAAGTCAGGTAATGACAGATGCTGGCGAGGATGCGGAGAAAGGGGAACCCTCCTACACTGTTGGTGGGAATGCAAGCTGGTGCAACCACTCTGGAAAACAGCATGGAGGTTCCTCAAAATGTTGAAAATAGAACTACCCTATGACCCAGCAATTGCACTGCTGGGTATTTACCCTAAAGATACAAACGTAGTGATCCGAAGGGGCATGTGCACCCGAATGTTTATAGCAGCAATGTCTACAATAGCCAAACTATGGAAAGAACCTAGATGTCCATCAACAGACGAATGGATAAAGAAGAGGTGGTATATATACACAATGGAATACTATGCAGCCATCAAAAGAAATGAAATCTTGCCATTTGCGATGACATGGATGGAACTAGAGGGTATCATGCTTAGCGAAATAAGTCAATCAGAGAAAGACAACTATCATATGATCTCCCTGATATGGGGGAGAGGAGGTGCAACATGGGGGGTTAAGCGGGTAGGAGAAGAGTAAATGAAACAAGATGGGATTGGGAGGGAGACAAACCATAAGTGACTCTTAATCTCACAAAACAAAGTGAGGGTTGATGGTGGGAGGGGGGTTGGGAGAAGGGGGTGGGGTTATGGACATTGGGGAGGGTATGTGCTATGGTGAGTGCTGTGAAGTGTGTAAACCTGGCGATTCACAGACCTGTACCCCTGGGGATAAAAATATATGTTTATAAAAAATAAAATTAAAAAAAAATACCTCCTGTCAGCTCTGTCTTCAGAATCCTGTAGCCACTGGATTCTTGAATCCCTTGGGCTTCACGTGCTGTAGTGTGTCTTTCCTTTCTGCCAGTATGAGCCAGATTAATGGCATAGTCCTTTCCTCTTGATATCCCCAAACACCACACACAGGTCTGTGTGCCTGGTAGACTTGAGTGTGGATCTGGATGCCCTAGCAGACGGTTCACATAGCAGCTGTGCTAACAAATTAAACCTGAATTTTAGAGACCATGATTTCTTGCTAGCTACTTTTCTTCACCTATTACTGCTTCCCAACATAGTGCTTGACCCGCCTCTGTCCCTCAAGTCCACTTCCAGCTCTGTTTTGGGTGTCGCCTCTTCTGGGTGTTCTCCATCCGTTCCTAAGTTCTCCCCTTTAGTATGCAGAGCCACTAGCTCATCTTCAACTTTGAGCCAAGTTCTACTTTTCCTAGGTGCAGTGGTCTTGAGTATATGGAGTCATCTATCAGGCTCATATTCGCCCTTTGTTCTGCAAAGTCACAATTCATAGATCACCTTCCTTGGAATGGTGGCTTTAACTGCACCTAAGACCTGGCAGAGGCCTTACTGTTTCAGTCTTTTGTGTTGTTCTTGTTTTAAATTCCTCCCTTACAGCTTTGTAGGAGGAAGAGAGCATAGAAAAGGTTTATTTCCTGTCTGATATAAATTAAATCACTCTCTTGAGGGGAAAAGAATAGCTTAATCATTTTTGGTTTTAATAACTTTTTTCCTCCTAGATACAAATCCTCAAACCCACTTTTTCTTATATTGGGTGTTTTGTTTTATTTTGTCTTGTTTTGTTTTGTTTTAGTTTGAGAAATCTCTGAATTCTTATTAGGCTTTGTTTCATCTGCAAAATTGAGAGACTGGGTTAGGTGATCTCCAAGGCTCCTTTTTGTTTAAAATTACATAATTCTTTCAGTATAATTGCATATATGTATTTTTTTCTCTAGCAGTTATATACATGGCTATCACTTATCAGTTACTAAAAAACTTGTCATGATTTTTCTTATATTTTTTCTTTCTTTTTTTTAAATTTTTCTTATTTTGAAGTGAACTGATGAATCGAAACTCTAATATCACTCTTATTTCATTCTCCCTACCCCAGCTTTCCCGTCTCTAAAAAAATGTAGGTTTTGGAATCATAGACTGTTAATTTGAGACCTAAATGCATCCCTTGTAGATGTTCATTTGAGAAACATTATTTAAGATATTTGTCCTTCCCTCTTTCTTTTTTTTTTAATTTAAAAGCTAATAGTAATGGCAATGACCTCATGGAGTTGTGAGAAATAAAATGAGATTATTTATGTGAAAAGAATTTGTAAATCGTAAGGCACCATCAAATGTGAATTAATTTGGAGGACGGAAGAAATAGAAACTGAGAAAGTAAAGGATAGATGAGTTCTGTGGCATGCTTTGCATCTTTTAGTAGTGGAAGAAACCTGATTCAAGTTGCCACAAAACTGATCATTGGTGTTGCACCTTCTTCATTTCTTAAACATTGGCTGTGTACCATCTTTAAGGCAGGTGTTCATTAGTTTAATTAACATATACTGCACAACACAAAACTGCCTACTTAAATCAATATATTGTTTTTAATTGATATGAAGGTATCTGGAGGTACAGATACCTTCACAGGTACACTAATTTCTTTTCACTTTTTGAAAGTTAAGTCCTATCAATAAGGTTCAGACACAATAGCGTTGCCACATTGTTTTCTATTTCTTGCATATTCTTATTAGATTCTACAGCTGTTATATTTCATGAAATTTTAAACTAGAAGAAACTGAGTTTCAAAGATAGTTACTGGAGAAAAGGAATCAAATTTTAAATTCTTGACTCAATGCAAGACAATGTTGCCCAACTCCTAGATGCTTCCTGTCATTAACATTCTGTCGCACTGTTCAAAATGATGATGGTCAATTGCCTCTGTCTCTGTAAGTCTTTAAATGGCTTTGACCAATGCTTAAGGAGTCCTTCACCTTTATACTCTTCCAACAGCCTTGCCTCAGGGAGCTCTCGCCTAGTTGCTTCAAGTTGTTACTGTTCTTGTACCCAGCCCTATCACTGCCCCCCTACTCTCTGCTAAAACCACTTGCTCCCTTTCTTGACTAATTTTCCTCCAGGACTTAGGCATTCACCTTTTCATGCATAATGGGACTTTAATTACTCTTCTTTCTTTTCTAATATGCACATCTTAACTTTCTCTTCAGTGGCTTTTCTTTCACTCATAAATGTCTCTTTGGTTAAACAAAATGAAAAAAGACAAAATTAGAGAATACTATATATTTTTCCTTGGTCTTCCTTCATCTTCCAGGGAGAGCTTTTTCTTCCTTCAACTTCTCTCTTCCCTTCTCCCAGTGTCCAGTCTGGATTCTGACCCGAGTCAATTAGCATCGTTCAAAGAAGTCAACTGTAAGCCACCTGTAAGACTGTAAGAATTAGAGATGCAAGAGATTATTGGGGGGAGTGGAAGCAAGAGAAGGTAGGATGAACCTTCAGACTGTGACATAAACCTGTCACCTCCAAAAAGAGAAAAGGAAGGAAAGAAGATGGTGTAGAAAGAGCTTTACTCTTTCTATAATTAGATAGGACTAGCCCAGGTCTACACCCACATAATGCTAACAGCTGGTTTTCTCCAAAGACGAGACACCACACTTCTACTGGCTGTCACAGGTACTGCGCTCTGATGAGGTTACACTTTCCCAAAGCTTAAAATGATGAGCCTGGGGTGTCTGGATGGCTCAATTGGTTAAGCTGCCAGCTCTTATGTTCAGCTCAGGTCATGAGCTCAGGGTCGTGGGATCAAGTCCTGTGTCAGGCTCTTCCCCGAGCAGGGAGTCAGCTTGGGATTCTCTCTCCCTCTCCCCTTTCCCCCCGTTTTTCCCCATATTTGTAACTTGATGAGCTACTTCTTATAGACTGGCAAAAATCATGATTCACAGAAGTATGCCCCACTACAAATCCATAAATAACAAATAAAAGTATTGCAAGAAGGTATCCACTTCCCTTGGACTGCGTGGTTACAGTCATTTGCAAGTTTATGCTGTTTTCACCAGTAGTTTTATAAAAGCTCTTCAGTGTTCATCACTCCAGAAATTGCTGTTCAGTATTACTTTTGAAACATGCAGAAGATATTTTACAATTCGGAGAACTTAATAACAGTATTTTACTCAGTGCTAATATTTCTTCTTTGACTGCTTAATGTGCATCACACACTGTTCGGGTGTTTTATATTTGGGAATTCTTTTCATCTGTGTATCATCACCCTTTGAGATAGATTCCTTTAATACTGACATTTGACAGAAGGTGAGATTGAGGCACAGAGAGGTGAAATAAATCCTCCAAAACCACACGGCTAAAAAGTCAGGAAGCTACGCTTCAATCCCAGCCTGTTAGTCTCAGAGCCCCGCCCAACGGCTCCATTTCCTCTGCCGCTAAAATCCAGAACACTTTTCTCTATAAAATTGTTAATTGCAAAAGGTTGGCCCAGTATCTCCTTTCAAGCGTATGCATAATGCAGCAATTTTTCTTCTGTCTTTCAGGTCCCTGCATCCCTAATCCGTGCCATAATGGAGGAACCTGTGAAATAAGTGAAGCGTACCGAGGGGACACATTCATAGGTTACGTCTGTAAATGTCCTCGAGGATTTAATGGGATTCACTGTCAGCACAGTAAGTCATCCATAGTCGTCGTGCTTTTATTAGTATTGATTGCGAAGTATACAAGTCATTATCATTCTCGTTGGTCATAGACTGATAGAAGCTTCCCACAGCAAAGAACCCTGAGACTTGGCTAATGCTGCTTCTCTCCCACTGAATATATCACATCTCCCACTGAGGACTCCTGAACTATGTTTCACTCCACCCAGTGATGTATGGGGCTAGTAGTTTTGTGCTCTTTTTCATTATTCTCCAGCCAAACTTGCAAAATCTTGCCTTTTACTTTAAACTGATGTCTGCCTCTTTCTTTCATACTTGTCCTGCAGCTATACTCTTCAGGCTTCCCAGATATTATTCTGTTGATGAGGCCAGAGATATAAAAGAAAAGAAAACTGTCCACCCGGCCCTGTCTATGAGCCAGTTCCCTCCTTCTTACACAATGGCATTTTTAGTGTGAAAATCTTTGAAAGTTCAACAGATATGTTACCTGCATTTCTCTCTTTTATCTCCGTTCTTATTTACCCAGGGAAGTTAAACGAAATAGGTCTGCCTGTGATGCTGTCTTCTTAGAAGTATGGCTCAACATAAATGCCAAGCAAGTGGTCAGGGTCCTTAATGGCTGAAGGGGGTGCAGCAGGGAGGCCACTGTGGACAGTGTGCTATCAGGGCGGGCTGTCACTGGGGAGCCGAGTCTTTTTTTTAATATATTTTTTTAATATTTTAATAAACATATAATCTATTATTAGCCCCAGGGGTACAGGTCTGTGAATCACCAGGTTTACACACTTCACAGCATTCACCATAGCACATATCCTCCCCAATGTCCATAACCCCACCACCCTCTCCCTACCCCCCTACCCCTGGCCCCCCTCAGTTTGTTTTGTGACATTAAGAGTCTGTTATGGTTTGTCTCCCTCCCAATCCCATCTTGTTTCATTTATTCTTTTCTTATCCCCCAAACCCCCCATGTTGCATCTGCACTTCCTCATATCAGGGAGATCATATGATAGTTGTCTTTCTCTAATTGACTTATTTCGCTAAGCATAATACCCTCTAGTTCCATCCACGTCGTCATAAATGTCAAGATTTCATTTCTTTTGATGGCTCATAGTATTCCATTGTATATATATACTGCCTCTTCTTGATCCATTCATCTGTTGATGGACATCTAGGTTCTTTCCATAGCTTGGCTATTGTGGACATTGCTGCTATAAACATTCCGGTGCATGTGCCCCTTCGGATCACTACGTTTGTATCTTTAGGGTAAATACCCAGTAGTGCGATTGCTGGGTCGTAGGGTAGCTCTATTTTCAACTTTTTGAGGAACGGGAGCCAAGTCTTCAAGGCCGGAGAGGATTCTGATCAGAAGGAGGGGAACAGAGGAATGGCACATGGTAGGAAGAATGAGGAATGAATATATGAGCTCTAAATACTGGAGGGATGGTGAAGACCATGGTGTTAGGGATGAGTAAGCTGAAGCTCGTTGTATCAGCCAGAGCCAGATTTCTAACCACCAGCCAAAAACACAGAGTACCTCCTGGCTCTGAGATGATAGGAGCATAATGTACTTTTCTGGAGACTTGCTGTAGCTGGGAATTTGTAAAATTTCCACAGAAGCCTATTATAGTACAGTGGCATTTGTGCTTCTTACAACAGGCACCTAAACTGCTTGTAATTATCTCTAAGAGCTCTGATCACCCACGAGGAACTGAGAGCTACTCATTTTTCTCAGACGGGGCCAGAATCAAGGCTGACTCTCCCTTATTGTGGTGTCCTTGCTTGGCTTTCACACACAAACAGCTCAGGACATCCCTGAGGAGATAGGCATGGGAGCCCAAAATCTTGGCTGCCTTGACATTCATTTAATCCCATGAAGAGAATATTTCTAACCTTACGTATTTACAAATCTTTGTAATATGGTGTCAGAGTAGTGCCCAGAGGAAGACAGTCTGGCCACCCAGCTAAGCACCATAATTTGGAGCCACTTGCATCCAATACATATGTATATTTACAGAGGAGTCCCCCTTTTAAATGAGAACAGAATTTTCATAATGGGATGCTGTCCAAAGTTCTGAAGCAGGAATTTTTCCCAAGGTCCCATTATCCTAACTTTTTCTTGCCTATGCGGCAGGGCTCTAGGAGGGAGAGAGTAAGGGTATACACAGATTCATACCGTTAGAAATCCTTAGGACAGTATTTAGACAGCATGTGTAGACACTAGTATCACCTAAATATTTCCTATTGACTAGCTCTGTAATCCTAACTACTGCTGTTATCAGTGTGAAGTTAGGGCTAGTCCTTAAACCAGAGGTCGAGAAACTCCAAATCTGAGTTCCAACTAATAATATCTGTACAATGGCACAATATTATTTTCACATCTCTCAGCCTTGTTTTCTTCATATTGTGAAGAAACATTTAGTTTCCATTATCTTTAATAGTTTAGAAATCCCACTGAAGACATTTGGTTACCATTTGATTATCCTAGTATAAGGGAGTTTGCTCTGGCCAAGGTCCTGGGGAGGTGTCTGTCCGCCTCTTACTCCCACACGTGGTTAGCTATGAATGCTTTCAAGAGAACCGTCAGGTTTGAAGAACTAGAACAAACCATTCTTGGCCACCCTCTCCATAGTGGAACATCCAAGTCTTTTCTCTCATACCTTACACCATATTCAAATAAGCTCATTAATTCACATAATTTTGTTGAATTTCAAGGCTTATTTTGAAGCACAAAATAATTCTCTCCCTTATTGCACCTGGTTCCCCACAAGACTTTAAATCCATGTTAAGAATTGCCCTGGGAAGCCTGAGGCTGAGAGATTCAATGCAGAACTGGGATTTTGTGTTCTCAGCAAGCTAGTCCCTATTCTCTGAAGTGGATCATTATCAGAAACAGAGAATGGAGAGAAAAGGACTGGGTTTAAAATCAGAGACCTGGATTTAGACCTGACATTTACAGTTATTGGTTAAATGACCTTGAGCCAGTTGTTTGACCTTTCTGCGATTGAAGACACACAAATTGAGGAATTGAACTAGAGATGGATGGTCTTTGGTTCATACAAGCTAGGAGAGTATTATAGCTAAATGGGTAGCTTGCACACTGTACAAAGGTTATCAAGCCATTCTCTTTATGGATGAAATTAAAAAGAATTATATATTGGGAAAACAGATTTAGAAGTTCTGGGAGCCCCGAAAGCTTTTTTAGGAGGGGGAAACAAAAAAGCTCGCTCGCTCTCTTTTTTAAATAGCTCTTTAATCCCTTGTAAGAACTGCTAGGTATTTGGGTTAATTTTTTCACAGTGGTAATATTCTCATGGCCCAAATGTGCTCGAGAACCTTGCTGCTCAAAGTGAGAGGTCATACATCAGCCTTAGCTGGAAGCTTGTTAGAAATGTATTTTATCAGGACCACCTCACATCAGCTAAATCAGAACTAGCTTTTGTTTTGGGGTTTGTTTTTTTTTAATGATCCCCAGTAGACTCCCACACACATATTGAAGTTTGAGAAGTACTGCACAAGGCTTTCAGTAGTTGAAAGTAATCAGCTTGCAGTTACATAACTATGTTATAGGCAAAATATTTATCGCTTTTGCAAATCAAAACTATATTGAAAATCAATGAAAATGAGAAATGTACCAATATAATATGAACATTTCATTTGGAAAAAGGATTGAGAAAAATTCTTCAGGCATCCATATATGGGGAGGGTATTAATTTAGTTCTGTGTGGCAGAATGTGAATTAAGTATCTTTGGGAATATAGCTAACTAGTTAAAGAATTTTTAAGTTTCATGATATAGGAGTGATAAATACATAATTAATAGATTTACTTTAACAACTATTTTGTCAATATGTTACAGATTAGAAAAAAAAAATGTTTCCAGTGCCAGCATTTATATTATCTACACATGATCTTTTTTTAATTAATAGATTTTCATTTTTAGAATACTTCTAGGTTTACAGAGAAATTAAGCAGGGAGTTCCCATTTATCCCTCCGCTTCCCTGCATAGTTTATTCTATTATTAACATTCCATTAATATGTATATTTGTTACAATTGATAAAATGATATTGATACATCATTTTTATCTAACATCCATAGTTTATATTAGGGTCCACTTTTTGTATTATACAGATCTATGGATTTTGAAAAATACATAATATCATGTATCTACCATAGCCTCATAAATAGTTTCATTGACCTAAAAATCTTCTGTGCTCTGCCTAGTCATCCCTTCTTCCCTTGCAAAATCCCTGGCAACCACTGATTTTTTTTTTTTAATTATCTCTACAGTTTGCCTTTCCCAAAATGTCATGTAGTTAGAATCCTAGAGTGTATGTGGCTAGAATAATATAGTATGTACCCCTTTCAGACTAACTTCTTTCACTTCGCAATATATATTTAAGGTTCCTCCATGTCATTTTGTATCTTGATAGCTTAAAAAAACTGAATAATATTCCATTTGTTTATTCATTTACCAATTGAAGATTATCATTTGGTTGTTTCTAGTTTTTTGGCGGTTATGAGTAACACTGCTATAAACATTCATGTGCAGGTTTTTCTTTTGTCCTGCGTGACATAGTTTTCAACTCGCTTGAGTAGATACCTAGAAGTGCAATTGCTGGATCATTTGGCAAAAGGATGCTTGAGAGTAAGAAGCTTCAAACTGCCTTCCACAGTGGTTCTACCATTTTACATACTTACCAGCAATGGATGAGTTCCAGTTGTTCCATATCCTCACCAGCATTTGTTTTTACTGTCAGGGTTTTGGATTTTAGCCATTACATGTGCATTTTTTATCATGAAAGTAGCAGAGGTTATAATTTTATAAAACTAATAATGATTCATATTAATTTTTATATAGAATTACCAAATTATACATGTTCTTAAAATACCATAGAATAATGTGAAACACATACATAGACATATATATGTGTGTGTGCATATATATATATATATATATATATATATATATATGCACATGTATATGTGTGTGTATGTAAATTATAGGATGAAT